TAAAGATTTGTATCTGCAGTGTGTGTTTTCCTAAGTCTTTGGGAAACTCTAGTTTTCCAGTGGCCATTGTCTTGGCAGTCTGTTTCATCATTAAAACACTATGTGCATTAAGACAATACATAAAGACAGGGGATGTGGTGCAAAGGACATGGCGAAGGCACTCAATGTCTTCTTTGTCACGGTCTTTACTTGTAAAACTGGCCTTCAGGAATCCCAGATCCCTGAGACCAGTGGAGAAGTCTGGAGAAAAGAAAACTTACCCTCAGTAGAGGAAGATCAGATTAGGGAGCATTTAAACAAACTGGACATACATGCATCCATGGGACCTGATGGGATACACCCAGGAGTGCTGAGGGAGCTTGCCAATGCTGCCATTGCAAGTCCACTCTTGATAATCTTCAAAAGGTCTTGGAGATCGGGGCAGGTTCCTGAGGACTTTAAGAAAGCTATTGTCACTCCTATCTTCAAGAAGGGCAAGAAGGAGGATTCAGTGAACTACAGGCTGGTCAGCCCCACTTTGAATCCTGGGAAGGTGATGGAGCAAATAATCCTGGAAATCATTTCCAAACATAAGAAGGACAGGAAGGTGATTGGGAGTAGACAGCATGGATTTATGAAAAGGAAGTCATGCTTCATCATAATATAACGTAACACCTTTCAACATAAAATGCTGCTGAAAATTGTAATTTTTTGGATCCTCATTTCAACTTCGTTTCCTATTTATTTCCATCATATTGGTCAGAACTTGGTTTTAGTTCTAGATTTAATTTGAGCACTCATCACTGAGCAGAAGTTCCCAAGCATGCTTTTCTGTCAACAGCTCACCCAAGGAAACGATATTGCCCTGTGCTCTTTTCATTTAAAAGTCTGGTTTTGAGGTCAGTTGATAGTCTGTGAGGAATTCTGAATATTGACATTGTTTCAAAATGATTCTGAAACATCTCTTGTGAAGTCATCAAACCAACCACTTGTGTCCTTATGGCCTGTTAGTAACATTTTCTATTAAATATCTTTATGTTTTCTATTCATGCTAAGTAATTAAACCTGGGAGAAGCTCTCTGATCTCCCTTTACAGTCTTAGTGGGGATGCCACCATTGTTGCAATACAGTTGCATGTGGTTACATACCTGGTGTGTTATGACGTTTATCATTTGGACTATCAGAATTACTTTGTTTTAATCTTGTTCTTTCCCTGTTGTCTTTTGTCACTATGGAGTATGAAGGAATTACATGTATTTTTTTTTAGCATTTTGTATGCATTTCAGCTGATCTGTCTGAAATTATCCTGTCTGGATATGTACCATTACACAAATACAACCTGAAAGAAGGAAACAAAGAAATGAGACAGTGTCAAAGATAACAGCAATTACAGAGGAGTTGAGTTATGACCCCACCATTGTTGCATGGGAAGTAGCTACTTCTCTGTCTGCATCTTGACAAGAATGGTGGCTTCTTCTCAAAGTGAAGCTTAGGGTGCTAAAGGAAAACCTTAGACCATTAGGACCTGTTGCCTCCAGATCTAGTAAAACGGTGGAGTTGAGTGATTTATGAGGGACTGCCTTCACACCATTGGACAGAGAGGCAAAGAAGGAGAGGCCACTTTTTGCAGCAAACAGCATGGAATAGGAATGCTAAAACATATCTGCCAGCGGGCTTAAGGGGAATGCAGTGTAATGCTGCTGCTGTTTTACATCTGTTTCTCTAGGAGATTAAAAAAATGTTAGGAAATAATTCAAAGCATTGCAGCCTGTTTAGATCTGCAAGGTTAACAGTGTGAGCAGTTTTTGGTCCAGAGACTAGCTTGAGGAATGATCAAGTTGCAGGTTCTTAATCAAAAGAAGGTCACAAAGAGGAGGATGCTTTGGTAGGGCAGTGGACACTGAAGGCACAAATGAAGAAGGGTTGTGGAAGAGGTAGCCAGAGGCAGTGTGATAGCTAGAGTGTAAGCTCTTTGGGGTGGGGGTCTGTGTTTTTATGTATGAATACAGTGACTAGCATGTTGGGAATGCAGTCTCCCTGCTGCGTGCCAAATGTGAATTTAGTAGAATTTGCTAGGGCTCGCCATTCCCTCATTAGCATCAACCAGTAAAATGTGCATACTTCTGTCACAAGACATAATCATAAAATGATGTTGTACAGCCTCCCAATTTAGATCAGAACAGTGTCTGCTCAGATTGGGCGCTACTATGAGACAAATCTTTCCTAATAATAGGAGCTCATTTCTGCACTGTTTTCCTTTTATTGAGTGCTAAGGTCAAAAGTAGGTGGCTTTACTTTCAATGTTATTCCAGTGCGCCAGTTTTTGCAATGAAAAGCTTGAATAATACTCATGGTGTAAGTCTACTAATTTCCAGGTTTTATTAGTAAACTAATGCCTGAAAAAAAAGAAAAAAAAAAGGTATTTTTCCAACTATATGCACAATATTTTCTTTTGGGTATGGTGTGCATTGGTACTATTAATGCACTTATTTTTTAAGCTCTTCACTTTCATAAGATTTACAATTTGTATGTAATGAAACACCATTTTATGACATATTTTTAGATTTTCTTAGGAGAATATTTGACTCATTTTGTAGCAAGCAGTAGTAAAGGGGAAGGGGGAGGAGCAAGATGTTTTTGTTAGAAAATATACAAGTTAAAAAAAACTGGTCAGCTATATGCTTGACTGGTTACTGAAATGCTGGAAGAAATGTTACTAAGTGTGGAATTACATCATCTTTCCTCTATACACAGAAAAAGCCCAAGGAAATATCATTTGTCATAAGACCTACGCTCCATAATCTGAAATGCCACTTTACTGCTAAAAGCAAAAGGATAAAAAACCAAACAAATAAAAAGCACACAAAAAACCCGAGAGCCTAAAGAAAGTATTGGTGAACAATTCAAATTAAATCAGCTTTTTACTGAAGTGAAAAAAGGGGGAGGCGGAAAAAATTGTGCAGTTTATTTAATAATTACATTTCAAAGAGAAGCAAAAACCAGTGCATAGACACAGAAGATTGTGCACATTAATGTTCCTTTTATATTTTGCTCCTTATCTCCACCAAAAGTTATGATTATTTATAAAATCTGACACTGGAATAATAAAGATTCAGTTAGTGCCTTCCTTTGCCTGCAGATCTGAATCCCGGTTCCTCTTCCAAGACTACAAAAAAGAGCTTAGCACAGGGGACTCCCACAACATGTAGAAATTGAGAGGGGAGAGTAGCCTCCTCTCCCTCCAAAACTGAGGATCACGTGATTATGTCCGTTTGCATCACTACAACAGTGACCGACCCGTGGTGATGTGTGCTTACTCCTTGCTTTCTGAACGACGTGTTTTGCTGAGGGCTCGGAGCAGCCACAGACTCCGTGAGCCGGAAGCTGGACCTCAGACAGCTCCTTGAGGTAGCAGAAACAAAGCCCCTGCTTAGCTGAGCTGAAGCAGGATTGATGGACTTTGTGCTAAGACCCACATTGTCCTGCTTTCCATGGTGCAAACGCTGTATTGGACTTTCTGCAGGCACAGAGAAAGAGATGCAACTTTCTCAAGCCTGGAGTAGACTAGAGGGAGACAGCCACAAAAGCAATGGTTGTGTTTGTCTCAAAGGAACAGGCAGGATCTTTTCTTGCTGCCTTATTTTCAGCAGTTATATACATTTCTGTATATAGCAGATATTTTGTGAATCGGAGCTGCACACATAGCTTTAGAGTGAAAAAACAGATCAAGCCCTCTATGGTTTCTTGATAACCACTGAAAAAACCCAAAACAATCAAATTCTCTCTAGACAGAGGTTTAGTTAGTATTTCCACTGGGCAGTTAATGTGAATTGCTTCGTTATGAACCATCTGCAGGGTTTTCAGGAAGATAAGGTCAAGTGTGTTCAAACCAGACAGTACAGAGTTGAAACTGGCCAGTGGTGCTCACTGGAGCTTCATGTATTTCAGAATAATGAAATGGCACTCACAGAGTGAAACTGAGTCTTTTTACTTTTTTAAAGAGAAAGCAGATGTATGTATGAAGGCAAAATAAGTGAGCTTCAGTGTCAGTCAGACTGAGGTTGGAACAAGAGTAGAACACAGCACCTTCCTTGCCATCCATGATATTGGCACTTCAGAATATGCCTCTGGTGGACCTCACAGTTGCCTATGACTCATAAATCCATAATAGTTCAGGACATGCTAGCTGGGGGGCTGTTTTTCTCCATGTGTTGTGCTCTCCCCTTTGCACTCACTAGAGATATTTCCAACCAATACACCCTTGTTTTGTAAGGAAGGAAATAGGTGGCAGGCTGCTCAGAAGTGTGCTGCAGCCCACTCAAATTCCTAATATTTCAGTGTCTTTTGATTTAAAACCGTAAGGAATCTTTAGACTTCAGAGTTCACTTTCCAGCTGTTGGCCTGAAACAGTTAATTCCTTAAACTACAGCTCATGTTACAAAGCTGATTTGCAGGCATTTGATGTTGCTTTGAGCATGGAGAGAATTCTGTTTTTGTAAGAATTTTTGAGGTTTCACTGTTTCGTTGTTTCTTTTTTATGGCAGAGCAGCTAAGAGATGAGGATAAGTATCTTTTCTAGTGTTCAACCTGAAATATATAAATAATGAAACAGAGGTCTAGTGTCAGTACTAAGCATTAAAAGAAAAAGAATCGGTGGAAGATACAGTACTTTTTTTTTTCTCCCTACCTAAGTGCTTTACCGCTCTCCTAAAACAGGATATAGAAAAACTGTAATTAGCCTGTCAAAATATATGGAGTCAGATTACTAATTAAATGCTCATTTGGGACTAAATCCTGGTCCTACTGAAGTCACTGGAAACAAAGGATGCGGAGACCCTCAGCTGAAGTGCTGAGTACCTTTGAGGACTGGGCCTCTGTTTCCAGAGAACTGGAAAGATATACTTGAGATTCGCCTGCAGAAGAAGTCATAGCATGACAAGACGAGGATGGCACCATTCAGAAGGGTTGTCTTGGATGGAAATAGCAGTTGCTCTGATTATAGCCTCCCTTCGTTCTTCCAGGTGTGTCTGCTCAGCTGACCAGCACTCGTCTCCGTCGGAACACCTCCGTGGGCACCCCGTTCTGGATGGCTCCAGAGGTTAGATTCATGTTTTGAAACATTTTATCACGGGCATTCGAGCTGCCACATTCTGCATTTCTGCTCTTTCTTTGTCTTTCTTCCTGACCACTGGACCTTTCACCACATGAATTAGCAATGTCCTTTAGAAAAGTGTTTTAAACCTTTTTTCTTACGTGTTTGCAAGGATTAAGTTACAATGGGGTTTATTTTTGAAATTACAAGGTTAGAGCCAGAGATCAAGACGTTGAATTGCTTACTAAAATGTTAAAGAGGAGAGAGTACTACCAGTGATCCTTTCCAGCCTTCCAAGCTCTGAAATTATAGGTATCTCATTTCCCCATGGATGGAAGGAGCCCAGGGTGGTACTGTGATAGATTATAGCTTTTATTTTTGGATTTCTGCACCTGGAAGTTTTTTAATACTAAATATCCATAGCTGACAGCAAGAAATGGAAGAATTGTGAATTAGTAAGATGTACTATGTATCTTTGGAAATTTTTCTGGCCTGAAATTGAAGCATGTAAAGATACATTTTAAGCTGAGGCAGGAAAAATGTTTTGTTATAAATAAGCCTATATACTTACACTGTTTATGCACACACAAACACATGCGTATACATCTATTTATAGCATGTGAAACTACTCTGTTTATACACATGTATTTTTATAAACATACTCTGTTTATACACATTGTCTAGCCATGTAGCTAACGGGATACACATTGGTTTAGACCTGTAGCTAATGGGATGAAAAATTCTAGATTCATCCAGCATTGTGGATGAGCTGAAATGTATATGAAATTAAACACATTTGCTGTAATCCGGTGCCAACACATTGTCAAGAAATTAGCTTGATCTTAAAATTGGCTGATTTGGCAGAGTAACAACCCAGTAGGAGACAGTGAATTCAACTTCTGCTTTCCTGCTTGTTTTAACTTCATGGAGAGAGCAATATAGCTCCATTAGTAATTTTGCAGGAATAATCCATAAAAAGAGGTTTTAGGGTTGCTGAGTTTCCTTCTACTTCCCTCAGCCAAGAGATGTAGTATAACACCTTCAGTTGAAAAAGCCAAGGATTTGCACCCTTTTGTCAGATCAGGGAACATGTGGTCAGAGAACCTGGTGTTCACAGACACCTGCTTTCTCTAGTTTAAGCATTGTATATTTTCAGCAACAGGATGCTTTAGCTTGCTAAATGTGTGCAAGTCTGTTTATTTCACCCTGTATCTCCATCCTGTAAGAGATTCGCCCAACTGTGGGTGTACTCTTAAATTCATACATTTGACCATCCAATGACCATCCCAGTCTTTTACTCCAACAGGTGATTGCCTGCGAGCAGCAGCTAGATAGCTCCTATGATGCCAGATGTGATGCATGGTCACTGGGTATTACTGCAATAGAGTTGGGAGATGGAGATCCACCCCTTGCTGATTTGCACCCTATGAGGGCACTCTTCAAAATACCAAGGTAATATCTTGATGTATTTATTTCTTGCCAGGTTAGACTGAACTTTCTCCTTAACTATTACTTTCTTCAAACTTAGACTGTTTAAGTATGTGCAGTTTCTTCATACTATTTATACTGGGAGGAGGTTAGAAATTGTCCAGCTGTATTTTCTGCCCGCTCTGCTTCAGCCATGCACAGATTGAGAAGTTCAGAGCTGATTGTGGCTGTATTTGAGAAAAAGCCATAAGGCCTTCTTGTGAGTGGACTGCTGCCCAATATACACGAGTGCAGGACTCAGCTGAGTCCTGTATATTCTGTTACAGAGGATGACTTATGACAGAAATAGAGTCTGAGTATGCCACCTGTGGTGAACAGGCCCCATACTTGTCCGCAAGAGTTGTCCCATGTCCTTTGAAGCAAAGTATTGTTCCACCACTTACATTTAGGCTGCCACCTTTCATTAGCTTGTGCTGGTCCTGGCAGTTCCATGCTTCTGTCCTTGGGCAGTGCAAATAGCAACTTCTTTCACATTTTCTTTGAAGCTGGAGATAAAAGTACCCAAAGTGCCACTTACAGCGTTTCAGAACATCAATCTCAAAGTCTGTAGGGGATGATCATACAGCCATTTGTGGATTTCAGTCTAACAGATGAAGTACCACAACACTTGAGACCAGATAGTATACCTGAGTGCTTCAAGTCATTTTCAGCCAAGTCACCCAAATTAGATTAAATTATCTTCAGGTTTAAGAAATCTTGGCTGACTTGGCACTGAAGCAAAGCATGAATGCTCTTCCCACCTTTACTTGCTATGGGAAAAGAAGTTGCAAACTGCTGTGGTCAGTAATTTCAGTAGGCCTTCAAAAAAAATTCTGGCTTATACCCTTACAAATATTGGGCACCTACCCTTTCTGCCCTGGAGCAAATATAAGATCAATACCCTTTCATTTCACTAAGTGAAACCTGAAAGTGGTAGAGTAAACATTAAGCAGCACTTAAACAAAAGCAGTTATGATGATTAATCAAAAATAGACAGAAGAGTCGCCTCATCTATAGGTGATTCCTTTTGTCTTCATGACTACATTCAATGAAAATGGCACCTCTGAGTGGAAGAAGACTGTTAAAACAATTTGAACCAAATTAACACCTAGAATAAACAGCTCTAACTCAACAGAAAGAAAGAATTTACAATAGATCTGTATTTAGTCCTTCACTTGACTTCTGATTATCTTCTGATGAATGAGAAATAGTTAATAAAGAGCTAGTTCCTTCTGACACTTTGCTCAGCAAGTTGATTAATTCAGTCCTTAAAACTTAAAATAGAATTTCTTTTAAAAAAATACTCTTAAGAAAGTACATTGTTTCAGGCTTGAAAAGAGAAAGTGAATAGTGATTAATGGGTTGTTAGTTTCACTTCCGTTTATTGATTTTATTGAGAAAATTATGGTGATTCTTAGCTACGCTTGGTAGATCATCTCCATGCTATTTCTCCTTGTTAGTTATGTAAAGTAGGAGAACCAGTGAGGCATTGTATCATCTACCCATGCTTCTTTTACCAGTGGAAATCAATATCTTTTTTCAGTGGCCTTCTAAAACTCATTACTCAGCCTGCCTTCACACATTGTTTTTGTCAAGTGAGTAGCTTATTAACTTATCATCACACTGACCTTTGCAGGAATCCTCCTCCAACGCTACAGCAGCCTGAACTGTGGTCACCTGAATTCAATGACTTCATTAACAAGTGAGTAACTACAGTGAGACCACTGTAGCTGAATATGGAACATGTGTAAATGTCATGTGTAAAATATCTTTGTATTCTCTGTGAAAATCCATTGCTACTAATATTTTTCCTTAAAAACCTCGTTTGTAAATCCAGTAAAGCCAAACTCCAAAGTGAGGCTCCAGATTTAAAACATGAAATAACATTTTAACACCCTTGATATTTCTGTTTTTCTTAATTTAAAGAATATTTATTTTAAATTATTTTAAATGCAGTAATTTAACTTCTTGGACTCATCAATTCTGCAAAGTCTTGCAGTTTTCAGTACAGAGCTGTTGTGATTAAAATGGATGTATTCATTATGAATGAACTACAGACAAGCATTTCAAAACTTAACAGCAACCCCTCAATGATCATACGCTTTTTCTGCCAGCACAGGTGCTTGACTAAAGATTATGAGAAGCGTCCAACAGTATCTAGTCTTTTGCAGCATGATTTTATTAAGCAAATTGAAGGAAAAGAAAACGTGCTACAAAGACAACTCATGGAATTTATTGATGTTCATCAACAAATGGGAGTCACTGAAAAGGCAAGGTAAAAGTAGCTGAAAAGTAGACCAGTTGGGACAACTTTGATACTTTCACTGTTTTAGAATGGCTAGCACTCAGACAAAGATTCACCTCTCATAACTTTAGCTGGCCAAAAAATAGGGAGCTTAATCTGTGGGATACCCTATAGAGCCAATGGAAAGAGAGGGGCATCATGATTCACACGTGGGATGAAACAATCTTTAGAAGCGCCTCCCCTTTCTCCTTTGACTCAAGATGCAGATTAGGATCCCAGTTTTCAGAAAGCTAAAGTTAGGTAAAGTTAATGTTTGGCATTTTCTCACATCTGCATCGTCAGCTAATGCTTAGTTTAAGCAAGTACGCTAAAAGTAACTAGTCAGGTTCCTGCAAGAATTGGATGCTACCGACTGAAAGAAGTGATAGTGGTACCAGACTTTGTTTTGCAAACTTCAAATCTTATGTCTTATTGAATAGATACTTTCTTTCTTCCACTGGTATTTAGTAATATCAATTCTGCATAAATCACTTAGCACCTGACGGCTTTTATTTAAAACAACTGAAAATGGCTTGGCTCAACTTTACAATTTAAAAAAACCCCACCCAGTACACTGAAGTAATGTATCAGATGTGAAATGTAGTAGAAGATTAGTATTGATGTACTACTGGTGCAACTTCTGTGCTTCAAGGTAAAGGATGACAATTTTTTTTTTTTTTAAATGGAACATAAAATTTAAAAAAATGTTTTGCCATTATAATCTGTATGGAAAAAGCTTACTAAAATCTGCCACATTTCCTTTCACACATATTTATAGTAACAACATATACAGTCTTCAGTTCTGATCTTCAGGAGAATTTTCTGTTCATTCTATTCTTTGAAGATAATTTAAAAAAAAAAATTTCTAAGTAATTTGTGATTTTCAGGTTTTCTTGGACTTTGTGTATGTGGGTGTGGGATGAGTAGTAGCTTCTCTTTTCTGGCATTTCAGTAAAAACCTATGCAGTTGGCTTAAGTTTAAGCCTCAAACTGGATTTGTATGTTCTATGTGGTGCATAGAACTTGACATTTGCTTAATCCAGAAAGATTCTAGAATTGAAATAAGCTTATCGGATGTCAGTGCTGAGCACTAAAACAGCAATGTACTCCAGACTTTTAAAAGTATTTCTTTATAAAACACAGGGAAACGTTATGTGGTAAAATAAGTCCAAAACACTAAATAATATTAATTTAAATCCTGATAACACTTGTGACACTGGTCCTTTCAAAGCCTAAATAATTTTTGAAAATCAAGCTTCTAAGTCAGTTAAGTATCATAAGCTTTTTTACCCATTTTATAGAACTCATATGTTTGTTTTCTATCAAGTCCTATTCTTTTTTCAAAATCCTTTCATTTTTTCATGTAAATGCTGCATAAAGCAAATTACATGAACCTTCTTTACCTATACAATGCAAACATAAAGTGGCCCAATTTGCGTGTGCATAGAGCAGTCAAATGGCACAGGAACAAGACGATCTATTGGCACTTTCTCCATCCTGTTTAGACTGTGTTTTATTAACTGATCACTCTTCATATGAACCAGAGTTTAATGGAATGTATTACTATGTGATGAAGTTACCTATGCTTTTACAGCTGATTAAGTGTAATTTCTACATAAATGTTCCCAAAGGAAGATGGAATTTTCTCTCTGAAAATAATAATAATTGATTATCTGAATCTGTGCCAAAAAAATTACTTGTTTAACTAAAAGTGTAATTTAAATGGCATGGTTAATCTATTAGGTTGGTGTGTAGTGTCTCTATTTCAGTTTAGCAGTTTAAAATACTAACAAGTAGGCTGATACTAGTTTAAATCTCATTTGCACTGATTTAACCAAATCTTTTCATACCTGAGATCAGTGAAGGTAGTATGAAAGATTGCAAATAAAAATCACATTTTACAGTCACTGTACCTATAATCACTTCAGCTTTAACACGTTTATTGACTACATTTGCTGGAAGGTTGTCTTTCATAGCAGTGAATGCATAAAAAGGTTAACCTTCTGCTAAAAACAGTAAGAATACCCATCTGAATATCTATTGCTATCTCTGTACAAGCAAGAAAAGCAGTCATTATTTTCCAGTAGCTGAAATTGTGGTAAAGTATGTACATCATTTCACTTCAGAAGTAATTAGAATTCCAGGCCTGTAAGGGACATTACTACAGAATTACATTTGTTTTTTCTTCTATTGAATGATAAAAAGATTCTACAAAGATCTTTGAATTCAGTAGTCATACTTTTTTAGAAGTCTTTAAATACTAATCATATGTATCTTCTGACCTTCAATCTGCACAGAGCAAATGGTGTCAACAGAAGTCTGTACAGAAGTACCATGTAGATCTGATTCAGAGTCAGGACATAGGCTGTGTAGTGACAAGTCACCTGGAAGAGTCTTATCTTAAAATCTCCTGGCTTTCTTTTCTTGACTGTCCTGTTCTGGGACTGTTTGTACACTGGTGTGTTAGGGCCCTACTGTGGAATTCCTGAACTTTCACCAGTTGCTGGCAACTTTCCTTGTAAAGCTCCCTCCTGATCTCCAGCTTATGTTCTCTTGGTCCATAATTTGAAGGCATAGTTCTCCTGCTTGTTGGCACTGGGAGGCAGGTGGTCTAAGTAATTAAAGAACCCTTCCTTCCACCAGGGGAAGAAATCCTCATACCTGTGTCGTATTGTATAAATGGGCATGCCATATGCATGCAAGCAATTTGGTAACATTCACTTAAAGCTGAAGGTATGAAATCCAGTTATTTTCTCAGTATGTGTTTCCTCTCTTCAAATTACATTTTATTAATAAAATTTTTGTATTTCAAAATAAAAAAATAAAATGCCTGAAAGTTAATAGCTGAGGTCTGGCCACTGGGTCTTCCTGTGTGCACTATTCCTGTTTTCACTCAAAATCAAATCACCCTCTTTGCCCAGTGTGCTGAGGTGTAATTTGGCTCTGACTGCCTTCTGCAGTGGTAGTCTGTTGTAGTTGTGATCCTTTCTTGTTGTTTGCTGAATATGCAGTTGGTGTAGTTCAGAAAGAAGAGACCGTGTTAGGTTATGTCACATTCTCTGAGGTTTTTGCAGAAGGCCAGATCCTCAGATCCAATCTTTGTGCACCATGCCTGCTCAGGAAGGGTGTGTGATCTCCAGGCGTAGAGTGGAGCCACCCTACAGTCACCATTAGTGCCATTGTTCCTGAGGTATTTTCTAACATTGACTGAGTCACTAGGGTATTGCACTGGGCCCTCTGAACCTTCCCATTATTGTTACTATTCTAGTGAAGAGGAACCTACTTTTAGATGATTGTGCTCTATCCTTTCCAAACACCTAGCAAGAGGAACAGAGCCACCAACCTCCTGAGTAATCAGAGAAATCTCAAATTACAGTGATAAAACTTTTAAACAGCAATATGCTAATAATCTGCTCCAGACTTAATGAAGGTGATGGAAGGTTGTACTGGTTTTTCAGTAGCCTCTGAACAGAGTCTTATAGCACTAACATGTCCTGTGCTACTCAAGGCTCAAAAAGCATGAATACTAGCAATGAGCTTCATTACAAATTCCACTTTTTGACTTTGAGCAAAGGCAATACATTTTTCTCTAAAGTCATCACTTCTCTATGCTAAAAAAAACTGTTTGCAACTTAACCTTTCCTAGCTCAGATCTCAGGTTGAAGAAATTATGATGGGAAGAGCATGAGCAAATGTCCCTTGATAGATTAATATTTTCCCATAGCATCTTGACTGAAACGTCTCTTAAATCTGCTTTTTGGAATGATGAAGTAAGCTATGGGAGATAAGTTCATGTTAGGGAGGTGGTGAAGCAGGCAAAGTTGCATACTAAGTGTATTTAATTTGTGGCTTTGTTGTTTAGCATTTGGGTTCTCAGTGAACTGTGAATTCCTGGTGAGTGGAGTCAGGATAAGGGCCTTGGGAGTTGCCTTCGTCATGGCTGCGGCAAGAAAAGCCTGTATCATTTTGCAACTTCATAAGGTGGTATTTGCCTCTTTTCAGAGGGGTTCATAATCATCTTGATACTTCTTTTCCTTCAGTCTTTTCAAATTGATGAACTTTCAACTAATAGAAAAAATTCTGTTACATTCGAGTAGTATGATCTTGAGGTTTTATACAAATAAACTTCATTCCGTATCTGTTACTTCAGTCCTCAGGACCACCTGGCTCTTAAATATAGTATTTCAATTCTTTTCTGCGTTGATAGTGACACAAAAGCATGATAATGGAATTTATTGCACAATCCTTAATGAAAATAAATTCTCTAATGCAGAAACAATCTCATTTGAGCCTGATCATTCACCTTTGAACACTGCTTAAGTTTCCCTTCATTTTCAGCCAATCCCTCAATCACATACTTACATTCTTGTAAGTCACATTATAGCTGTTAAAATTTATAATTAGTGATTAAAATAATTATCAGAAATGAGTGCTGCATCATATACCCAAAAACTGTTCTAAAAATACACTTCTTGCTCAGCCAAATGAGGGAAAAAACCTGCATTGTAAAGAGTTTTACTTTGCAACAGAAATAGCTGTCTTTGAAACGGCCTTCAGAACTGTCGCATCTACACCTGACAGTCAGGCTTGTAAGAGTTTTATTTTGAGTTTGAGTTGTTTAGCTGTCTTAATCTTGACTGCTTGTACAATAATCTCTGCAGAAATATGCAATGATTAGTACAATGTGTATTTCCTGGGAATTATGACTCATTCCAGAATGAGCTGCATATGCGAAGGATACTCACTGCACCTAGATTTCAGCAACTGACTCTGGTCCCCAGGTTAAGAGACTCATCTTTATATGCCCTCTAAATAAATATGGGAAAGAGACCCATTCTACTGCAAAGTGATTCAGAGCAAGGGCTTTTGGGTGAGCTGAATTACCCTCCTAAGAATTTGTCCTTCTGGATTGGCCATGTAGGGATAGCACTGAAATCCAGTGACAGAATGCTAAACAGTTGCTCTATTTAGCTATTTGAAAAGTTCAGGGA